CATGCAGCTAAAACTTAAAATAGGTTGCTACTGAATTTAACATATCTTCAATGAAATACATAGTTGATCCTTATTCTATATAAAGTGATTTATATAGGTTTGCAAGAATTACAATTAATAACTACGTATGTACATACCATGTGTTGATTTTGACATTTTAGCATGATTTTTACGAAAGTTTCCACGTAATCGAGTTGAAGTAGAGCTTTCTTCACCAAAATTATCATGTTCATTAAGTCCATCATCATCATCAGTATTATTATCTTGTTCAAAATTATGTGGGTCAAAATGTGATGGTGCATTATCAACTAAAAGTAAAATTTTTTTATTTTGAGCTCTAAACCTGTTGTCTATATGCCGAAGCACCTCTTCAAATAACAATAAATTCATCCATGCTTTAGAACTTGAACGATAATAAACTGGAAGTCGGTTTAAATTCATTTGGCCAAAAGATCTTGGACGTGATGATTTGCCAATTACCCATGGTACTAGTTTATCAGTTCCTGTTGCATTAACACCAAGAAGAACTGTCACTCTAGTTTTATCCTTTTTCTGACCAAAGACAGGTGCTGATGAAAGCGTTTGGTTTGGCCGCATTCGATAAAAGATACCCGTCTCATCAATGTTATAAATCTGATCAAGTGAATATCGACTCAAAAGCGTACGTAATTTAAGTCTTTCTTGTGGAAGAGATTCCAATGGTGCACTTCCTGATTCCCCATGTACACGATATTTTCTGATACTATTACGTTTTTTGAATTTTTCTAACCAACCATTAGAAAAAACTAACTCATCTTCTTGTACATCAAATGCTGAAGCAAACATCTTTGCCTTTTCCTTAATAACCAAATCCGTTAAAGTAATACCTCCCGCAATCATATTTTCTACCCATAGGTTCATTGCTCGATCGAATAAAGGAAACTTGACTTCTCTATGTCTTTAAATTAATGACATTTAAGTATTTTATATAAGTTATAAACAAAAAAAAGTTATTAAATACTATTTACCTAAATGTCTTACTTGAAACCTCAGTGCTAG